CTACTGAAAAAAAGTAGCGCACCAGGTTTCACGGGCTAGTATTAAGTCGCTTCCGACATTCTTGGGTAGGATTTCTGTCTTCAGTGGCTGGGTAAGTCCCTACAAATGGTCCTGTCGCAAGTTCTTTTGAAAAGGAATGCCTTTGTCGCAGTTCATTTGAACGGCTTGCGACTCGATGACTGAATGACTTCTGATGGAGTTAACCAACGCACTGGCACAGAGTGCTTTTAAACTGTGCACATGTATGTAAACGATCAAAATGACATTACTCTCTGTTTTCTACCTTTTTTAGGCTTTGGTGTGTGCTTATTTTGTAATATTTGTCATATTGGAGTATAATTTTGGAATGATTGAGGGACTGTTTTGAAAATCTGTTTTTCGAAATCTTGCCCTCTGTGTTTAAATGTACATAATATTCATTTTTGTATATGAATCTGACATCCAGTGATGAGCTTGAACGAAATAAACTACCGTAGGTAGCAGTATTGTCGCCCAACAAATTAACTATAAAAACAGACAAAGGGTAGAGGAATAGATTATATACCTTTCTAACATAGTCTTGGGAAAACCCTTTTTTCTAAAACAGCCTTTTTCACTTTTTTACGAACATTTAGTCACATCAACTGAAGTTTATTTGTATTCCCCCCCCAGGACAAGAAAAGCAGCTCTGACAATCGTGACAGAAGCTCCAGTCGGGACAGGGAAAAGAGCCGAGACAAGGATCAGAAAAAGAGAGACAGAAGTAAAGAACGAGACCACCATCGAGACAGGAGCAAAGACAAGGACCGGGACGGAAGCAAGGAAAGGGACCGCACCAAGGACCGAGACAGGAAGGGACGGGACAAAGACAAAGACAGCAGGGACCGCGACAGAGACCGCAAGAGGGACGGAGAGAGAGAACGCGACAAAGATCGAGGAGAAACAGATCGAAGCAAGGGGAAGGAATCGGAGAGAGACCCAGATAGAGATCGGGAAAGAAGGGAAAGACGAGTAAGTGTATGTAGTGCCTCACAGTCATGGCTCCTTTAACCCT